GCAAGTGTTAACACTGGTTTGAACAGTTTGTTAGGACAAAGAGAAAAAATGTATTCAGACTTGTCTTCTTACAGCTGTTTCTTGGCTTGGAAGTTATTTTAGAAGGGGCAGACCAGCCTAGACAAGGGTTCAGTCCTATGATACATAAAATGAACATTGTTTCATAAATATTCTGGCTTCCGCCCAGAGCAGGCAGCTAGAGCAAAGCAGAGCTTGGGCTGGGGAGATTCCTTCTGCAGTGGGTGGCCATGGCGTCCGAGAAGGCGAGGGCCGTGGGCTTTGTTGCTGGCATGGGTGGCCGCCACAGGCAAAGACCAGGACGCTGTCCCTCTGGGCTCTGGCCTGGGGCCACCCTCAGGGCACAGGAGAGGCCCTGCCTGGTCCCTGGCTGGGGCCTGGGCTTGAGAACTCAGAATACAGGCTCTTCTACCCTTTTGCAAGTGCTCATGCCTTCAGCAGCCCTCCTCACTCCTCGAGGGCATTAGACAAGGGTCCCAAACCCCATCTTGCTGAATTTCTGAACAATTAACATAAATATTATCCCTGTGGATAATACAGTGAGAAAGAAGGGGACACACTGAAGAATAATAGAAAATGCCTTCCTCTAAATGTATTTTTAGAAAGAGAGAAAAAGAGTGAATGTCTGGGAAATTTCTGATTTATATTCCCAACAAGGTTCAAGAGTATATTGCATCTGAGAAACCAGCATGGACAGTCGTGAAGAGAGGCATTAAGACCGGCCAAAGTTAGGAATGGCTTTCCTCTTTGGAACAGGCTTTGCTTTGATTCTTTTCATACAATGAGATGAAAATTTTAGGGCACTGGTTTATAGAACACTGTTTCTTTGACACGCATGGTGTTGTTAAGTTTGAGGAAACGCTACTCTCTGTCCCCCCACCCCGAGCTTCACAGTTGAAGTTAGGGCTCCAAGAAGCCCTGCAGTTAAGAAACGGTCTCTTCACCCAGGACTAACAGAATTTATTTGATCACAACACCCAATTTTTACCTAATACCCATCAGTGATTTCCATTGTGAAGGACAAGGAAATGGCTGGGGTGTAGAGTTTTCAGGGGAACCGAGTCAGACTTCAGAATTCCCCATGCCACCTAGCTGTTACTCGTGTGCCTAGGGAAGCAGGAGGACGTTCTCATACACGCGAGGACTCCAGAGGGTCCCACTCCTACACTTCCCTTAACGTTTGATTTTAAGATGTATTCTAGCAGGACATAATCGGAGGCAAAAAGGACAAGAGGAAGTAGCGTGATGGCAAAGACATGATTGAGAAATGAGGAAGGAACCAAACTGTGACCAGCTTTAGGTCTTAAATCTGACCCTGGAACTCGTCTTGGTGGGCGGGTTCTATTAAGCTGACTCGGAGTTCCCTCGCCCCGCCAGCTACACGGGAGGTCACAAGCCTGCCCCGCGAGCGCCGGCCCGGGAGAACCCAGAGTCCTCGAGGCTAGGAGACAATGTGGCCAGCGTCCAGGCTGCCTCCAGCAGGCCACTCCTGAGCCCTGCCCCAGGTGCACTTACTACAGGGGAACAGGAAGCCAAAAGAAGAAGCCTGGCTGTGCTCTCCAACCACGAGGCAGGGAGCACAGAAAAGACACAGGGTGGAACTCTCTGGCGCTTCTGTGGCTCAGTGACCCCACCCATGGGTACGTGGGCCAACAGATGTCCTGTCTTATCAGCAGAAGAGCTACTCCCCTTCCTTTGGGGAAGAGTGAGTAAGAAGCTTCCCTCTGCAGCTGCCCATGGGGAGAAGGAGTTAGGGGCGCCCCTTTGTCACTGGGTTGAGGCAGGAACATGAGGAGGAGTTTCCTCTCCAGAGCTGTAGGCACTTGGGGAGCACCTCGGTCAGGGAAATACTGAAATACGGGCGGGCAGGCTAGAAAAGGGGCAGAGGCGCCAGGGAGGAGGAGGAGGAGGTTTTCAGGTGGAGTCTGAAGTACTTTTGTTGTGAAGCTGAAGGGGCAGCAGGAGACTCAGACTTGGGGTCCACACACTATTGGCAGCCAGGGGTCTGGGTTTGTGACTTGCTGCGCTCCCAGGGCCGCCTCGAGCCAGAGGCCGGGGTGGGGCTGACCCAGGCGAGCTTGGGGGGGCCCGGCTCTGTGTCCTCGGCACACCGCCCCAAGTGTCTCCAGCCTCCGGGGCTGCCCCTGCTGTGGGGCACCCAGCAATTCTGCGGCCCTTCTCTCCGGCAGCTCCCTGGGGAGAGGCTGCGAGGCCGCAGAACTCCGGGAGCGGCAGGATTGGAGGCAGAGGAGGAGGCCGCAAAGGAGCTGGGAAGGAGTGCATTGGGTGGGGCAGATACAGAGGTGCAGGTAGAAACATCTTTAACGTAGGCTAACGGACTGGGGCGGGGGGGGGCGGGGGGGGGTTTGGCCGAGGAGCTGGTCTGGCTGGCTGAAAACCCTGTGTTTCTCTGGTTGCTGGCAGCTGGTAGGCATTCCAAAAATGTTTGTTGAATTAATGGTAAATTCAGGTTTACAAATAAGGCTATTTTCCCCATCCTAAGGTTGTTCTGTAGGACCTGTCAGTGTGGTGGAGTAGTCAGAGCCACCTGAATGAACCTTTCGGAAATCTGCAGAAGAAGAAGTGAACCTTTTCTAGGTTTCCCTTTGGTTGACTTTTTTTTTTTTAATATTTTATTTATTTATTTGATAGAGCGGGAGAGCACAAGCATGGGGAGGAGCAGGGAGAGGGAGAGGGAGAAGCAGGCTGCTCGCCAAGCGGGGAGCCCGATGTGGGACTCAGTCCCAGGACCCTGGGATCATGACCTGAGCTGAAGGCGGACGCTTCACGACGGAGCCACCCAGGCGCCCCACCCTTCGGTTGACTTTAACTGTCAGACGATAATAACATTAGTGGTTCTCTTGATGCCAACAGTTCTTGGTTTGTTTTTTTTTTTTTTAAAGATTTTATTTATTTATTTGAGAGAGAGAGAATGAGAGACAGAGAGCATGAGAGGGAGGAGGGTCAGAGGGAGAAGCAGGCTCCCCCCCCCGAGCAGGGAGCCCGACGCGGGACTCGATCCAGGGACTCCAGGATCATGACCTGAGCCGAAGGCAGTCGCCCAACCAACTGAGCCACCCAAGCGCCCCCAGTTCTTGGGTTTTTTAATATTCACTAAATGAGACGTGACAGTGAGAATTAAGAATGCTCAGAGGTCACATCTTTTCACATCTGATGCCTCAGCCTGGTCGTATTAAAAATCCCAGCCAGGAATGGTGGCGCACCCGGGCCCTGCCCCTTCGGGAGGCTGAGGGGGGCACGACTTGAGCTCGGGACTTTGGGGTGTAGTGCGCTATGCCGGTCAGGTGTCTGGGCTAAGTTCTGCACCAACACGGTGACCTGCAGGAGTGGGGGACCACCCGGTTACCTTAGGAGGGGCGAAGCTGCCCAGGGCGGAACAGAGCAGGTCAGCGGGGGGATGGCTCCTGTCAAGAGCCGCTGCGCTCCAGCCTGGGCAACATAGCCAGGCGCCCATAAAAAACAAATTTGAGGAAATCACTACGTTTCATGTTGTTAATATACATCGGAAAGCTTAAAATGCGAACTGGAACCTTGACGTTGAAGTAATCGGTGTTTGACCATCATGTTCCTGTTCTATCCCTGCACACTGAGTTGTGTTAGCTTTTCTGGATGGAGATTCATCAAACTGCAGGAAAGGGAAAGATAGATAACCACAGGTAGTGGGAGTCAGCGCCTCCTCGCTGATGGCTCTGTTGGCCAAGATGCTGGAGTGTTTCGTCTCGGGGAGGGGGAGCTGCTTATTTCATGACCACCTTCGCCTCTTCTGTCTCCTCCTGCACTATTCTAGTCTGCCCTTCGTCTACGTGAAGCCTAATAGTTAATGTTGAAGAAACGGTTCTCTGTTGAAAATCCTCTCTTCTGTTGTATTGACTTTGATTCAGATGAAGGAATAAGCTAACTGGATAGGACAAAATGAATACACAGAAAGTGAAACTTGGGATCATAACGCTTCTCCTCAGAGAGGACACCGTTCACACCAAATCATTGGGAACCTATGAGTGCCACCTCGTATGAGTGCCAGATTCTGGGACGCCCAGGCCAGACCTGCATGATAGGCCCCTCCCCTCCCTCCTGAGCCCAAGTAGATGACAGCTTCTATATAGAATCATTAAAGATTTTTTAGCAGGAGAATATTATGATTTAAAAAAAAATTTTTAAAGGTTTATTTGTTTTTAGAGAGAGAGAAGGAACGGGAGGGGGGGGCAAAGGGAGAGGGAAACCCAAGCAGACTCCACACTGAGTGCGGAGCCTGACACGGGGCTCAGTCTCCCAACCCTGAGATCACAACCCTGAGCACACGACAAATCTAATGCAGCTCTCTTTTGGTTATAAGTAATGGGAATCCTCCGCTTGAGAAAAGGAAACTCACTGGCTTATGTCACTGGAAGCCCAAGGGCTAGATCCAGGGCTTCATGCAGTAGCATCAAGACTGTATCTGTGAGCTGCCACGTCTGTGTTGACTTCCCGCAAGGACAGGCTTTCTCTTGCAGAGCTTTACAGGACCTTCAGGCTCACCACCCCAACCGAGGGCACTCCCTTTTCTCATCTGAGGCTCTCTTGGGCTTGTTTGTGTCATGAGCCCGTCCCTGAGCCAATCACTGTTTCCAGGGGTATAAGGTACCTTGACTGGAAATACTGAGCCTGGTACATCCCCCGGGACAGAGGGGCCCGCACCGAAGGACGTCCTCACCAGGTTTGGGGTGAAGGGTGGGGGCAGTTCTTGTAAACAAAAGATGCTATGCAGGCAAAAAAAAAAAAAAAAGACCCCACATAAATCACAAAGAGGGCACTGGTGGGAAGAATAGGTCTTCCAGAGGAAGTTTATCAGAGAGAGCATGAAGAGCTGTTGGTGTAGAGAGAGATAAGAACCAGAAACTTGGGTGTTTAACTCTCCACAGTTCTGACTTCTTCATTCTGCTTCAACCTTCCATTAATTTTATTTTTCCTTTATTAAAAAATTTCACTTTGATGGTGGTACTTTCGGAGCCAGTTACTCCTCACAGCCCCTGGATGAGAGTTGGCCAAGGTAAGCAAGCTGTGTTTTAAAAGCTATGGTGGGCACGTGTTGTTTGTCGATTTCACTTTCTCTTATCTACCTTGAATATGGTTTTGGAAATTTCTGATATAAATCATAGAATCTTATTTTCTCTTAGAAAACTTAGGTCTTTCAGGTAGACTCATAGGCTGATATGGAAGTCTAAGATGAAAAATCATTTTAAAAATCTAGATCTTCGTATTTAAAATCAAATGGAAACACACTTGGACTACATCTACCAGTAGGATATCCTGATTTGGTATTCTTTTATTTGAGACATGGAAAAACAACTGTCTTTGCTCAGGGTGTCTTAGCCATTGGAAGGAGTGGAAGATTTAATAAGCTTCTTAAAATGTAATTTGCACAGTGGATTTGATTTGGGTCTCTGAGTATTTTTGTATACAGAGGATATATGCCCCCCAAAATGGAGTATTTTTGAGTATAGAGGGTGACAGAACCTAAAACTAACTGTAAAGACTGGTGTATCCATTGCTTGTGTGGTATCATTCTCAGATCACCAAGTCAGATTTAGGAGACATTGGAAGTGTACGTATCACAAAAGAGACATTCAGCGTGCTCTCTGCGTTGAGGTTGACTCTCCTTCCACTCTCTGGGCAAACCCTGACTGAGCACTTACAGTGAATAATGTAGTCAGGACCTGGGAAGTCCATATGAGGATGAGTAACAGCAGGCTCCTGCCTCCACGCCGGTTTCAGCTGCCCTCAAGAATCCCGGGATCCAAGGTCGTGGGATAAATACGATAATCGTATTTTCGGTCATAAAAAGACATCTCCAGACTGATATTTTGAAAATTTGTATCCAAGGAAAAAATGTCTGCAGCTGCCCAGAGCACCGGGAGTAGTGAGAGCAATATTTTCGTGAACTGGACCCCTGGGCCAGTTGCGTTCCTCCTCGTGGCTGTCTCCAGGAAGGCAGTTTTCGCCTCCAGGATTGTCAGGGCTCCCCCTGCACACACTCTCGGGGTGTGTGCCGAGCAGTGACTTTTTACACATCTGGACTGAGACCTCATATCCCCTAGAGAGGAGTCGGTCATGGATTTTGAACTATTTCAAAGATGCTTGTCGGCCCTTTTTAAGACAAAACAAAACCAAAGCCCCATATATGCCCCGCTAGCTAATCCTGTTCTCATGGATTTGTGGTGGTTTTTAATCATGGAAATCAGGAATCATAGGAATCGGAGAGATCACTCAGTCTGACCTCATTTTAACAATGTTGAGCAAAATGAATGAGGCATGGAGTGTTTGAAGTGACTTTCCCCAGGTGAGTAGAAGAGCCAGTTCTCAAACTCAGGCCCGAGGCTCCCCTTTGCTCCTGTGAATTGAATGTCTTTACTTTTTCTGTCATTCTGGTTTTTAAAGGCAGCAACATCCTTGGAAAGAAGAAAAGCACCCTGGATTCAGGCTGACATCTGCTCTTAACAGGTACCCGGGTTGATTGCTAGTAGAAAGAAATTTAAAGAAGACCAATCGATTTGATTGTCCTGATGTTCTTTATATATTTTCCAGTTGCCAGAGGATATTCATGTCACATGTGTTTATAGGAAGTATTTTTTAGCCTAAGTCTCCCACCATTTATTGACTGTCTGCACAGATAGTACCGAATAGAGGGGGTCCCAGGGGGACTACAGGGTTGGCTCTTACTGTGTGACTTTGACTAAGTTATATAACTTCTCTGTGCCCCAGTTTACTCATCTGGAAAAGGTAGATAACCATACCTCTCTCAAGGGGTGGTTGTGAGGATCAGCTAAGATCTGTAAGAAACAGGGGGAAGCATTAGCACGCAGCCAACATTAGCTCGTGTCGTGATCGATCTGGGCTGGACTCCAGTGCTGAGTGTTCTGTGGAGGTCAGTCAGTCCTGACAGCATCCTTCAAGAATGAATATTATTTTCTGTTTTCAGAGATTAAATGACCTGTCCAAGGCAACATAGCTAACATGTGATGGAACTGGGATTTTTTTTTTTTAAACCGTTTATAGTGCAAAATATAAAACATACACAAAAGAGAAAAGCATTACCAGAAGGCCCCGTGCCCACGCTTCAGCTCTGGTCCTCATCCGAGTACTGCCGTCTACCCCCACCCCTCTCCCACCCCCACCCCACCCCCGCTAGATAGACTATTGCACCTGTAAACGTCTCTAACAGGAAAGGTTGCTAAGAACTTCTTTTAAAGAAAGCACAACCACAATGCCATTATCACACTTAAACAAAACTAACAGTGATTCCTTAATATTAGCCAATACCCAGGCTGTATACAGATTTTCCCAGTTGTCTCTCTGCATTTGACTGATATTCTCTTGCGCCTCTTTGCATCTGTAAAGGAGCTGGAATCCAAACCCAGGGGTCTCTGATCCCCGGCCCGTGCTCTTCCTGCTGCCTCACACGGCTTCCGAACCGTTCCCCCCTCCCTGTACCCTTGTCTGAACACAACACTGCCACGGTGCCCAGTCAGGCCACACGGCTTAATGGCCACCTGAGGCTGTCACCTGGAACAGACCACAGAGAAGCATGTTAGGCTAATTTGAAGTCTCTCACAAGTTCTTTTTATGGCAGATAGTTTGACCCTTGGATGAGAAAAAGTAAATAATCATCCCTTAGAGTTAAGGCTATGTAGAAATTGGAGCCATCTGGGGCAATTTCCAAAATTTGCTGTAGATCAGGGGTTCCCAAACTTTTTGTCTTAGGACTCCTTTACAGTCTTAAAAACCATTGAGGCCCTCAAAGAGTGTTTGCGTACAAGGCTGTGGCTGATATTTATCTATTGATATTGGAAATGAAATTGAGAGATTTATAAAGGATACTTGTTAATTTAAAAATTAAAAAATAGCAGTAATAAACTCATTACATGTCAACATAAAAGGTACCTTCTTTGAGGAAGCGCAGTTATATTTTCTGAAACAAAGAAGAATTTATTGAGAAGAGTGGCATTGTTGTGCCTTTGACAAATGTCTTGAAGATAGCTGGCTTCTCTGTTTATGCGTTCCGTCCACAGTGACCTCACAACCTCACCGTTGGCAACTCTGCCGTGCTCGTAAGAGAATGAGAGCGGAAGGGCAAAGAACGTTTAGCATTATTTTCAAAGTTGTCTCGACCTTGCATGCTCCCTGAACCACTGCTGTCAGGAACCCTTCATACAGGAGGACTTACTCTCAGATGGAGAGAATCTGGTGCAGAGAACGCGCTGGTCCCAGCTGTCTTCTGGGTGGCAAGGGAGAATGGGAAGCTCCTTAGGGGAAGCTGTGAATCCACACTCTGCATTGTTGAAATAGATCATCATGCCCTTAGCTTCAAAGTGTGGCTATCCGGGTACAGATTAAAATCTTTTTGGGTGTGGGCGATCCTCAGAGGCTGTTACTGATGTGAGGGCCTTTCAGGTAGGTTCAGACTCCTCATCTTAAGGGTGCTTGACTTCTCTCCTTTGGTAATTTTCAGCAAAGAATATTGCATTCTTACTAAGGAAAAATGGATTTTCAGTCAGACTCTCTCCTCCTCCCCTTAGGACCAATTCTGATTCCGCTCTTCACACGAGTGCTCTGAGCGCCAAGCCCCAGGACCCCTATGGAGGAGGGGGCCAGTCGGCCTGGCCTGCCCCATACATGGGTAAGACACACAGGCCCCCTGCTCACAGCGTCTGTGCTTTCTCATTCTGTTTGGAATGACTCGAGCTCCAGGATTTGGCCCTCAGTCACCTCTGTCGGCCCCGTGAACCACTCTTGATGTGTCTTCCTTTCCCTGTTTCTTCCTCTCTGATCTACCCCAGCCTACCTGACCAACACCCTTGGCTTTGTGGTCATTTCTGTGGGGCCGTCCTTGACCTTCCTCCCTTTGCCAGTCCAGAGCTACCCGTGTCCTCGTCACATGCCAGAGTTCCTCCGGGCTCAGGCCTACCTTGGCAGCTGTGCCACTCGACTGCCTTCTCTCCCCCTGCTCAGTGGGGATTTCTTGAAAAGTCAGCATCTTAATGGCCTCACCGCCAGCACGGTGCCCGGCACAGAGGAACCCTCAGTGATGGGGAAATTACCCAGTGGCTTGCAGGCACAGAGCCCCTGCTAGAACACGTGCTAGGTGCTGACATCTCACCTGCCAGGAACCGAACCTGGCTCGCTAAGACGCACTCCACGCCTGCCTTTCCTTCTGGGGTGATAATCTAGTAGGAACAATGGTCTTGAATTACCCGTTTCATAGGCAGATTGACTCTTGTCCACAAACACTTAGGGCTAGGTGTTTGGTCTTAAACCGGGAATAAATAAATCTCGGTCAAGATAATCCAGCCTTTCTGGTTTTCTTTATTTTTCAGACCATTTGAACCTGAAATAGTCTCTGTCCGGAGAACGTTCAGGGTCTTATTCCTTGCACATAGTAGGGGTGGGATTTAGTAATAACTGTTGCTGTATCTGTTCCCTTGGTGTAATTCATAGATGACCGCCTTTGCCTAAAAATTCCCTTACGTTTCAAGTGTGAGATCTACGCGAGAGTCGGTCTGGGCCATCTAGCCATGTTTCCCCCCATGGGAATGGGAGCGTCAAGCTGGCAGAATGTGGGAATGGGACAGGGAGCCTGCTGCTCACCGCTTAGAGGAGCGGGGTCTATGGGGAGAGGCTCTAGTTTAGCTCCAGGAGAGGCAGATACGGGAGCATATAAACAAAGGCCAGAAAGGCAGAGACTGTGATCACTGGGGGTGCCAGTAAGTACAGCGACATCCTGGTCTCCCTGGACTGGGAGGGAACCAGATGGATGGGTTTTGACCCTGGAGCCCCGGATACAGAGCTGCCTCTCTGCCTCTTCCATTCCTTCGTTTCTCTTGTCCTCTCTGCAAAGTTTATGCTTCTGCAGAAAGAGCCAGAAGCCTGGAGAGCAGAAGGCAACCATAGGTGATTTAGATAAAGAGCCTTTCGGGCCTGCACGCAGAGAGAAAAAGCGCAGAAAGGGATTAACTGGGTGCGGTATTTATGCGAGGAGCCCTGTAGCCTTTGAGGGGAGAGGTGAGAGATGTCGGAAGGGGTGCGTGAGGAGGAATCAGGCAGAACTACGTTAGCGTTGCTCCTGGCAGACGGAGCAAGAAAGAAATCCGGGAGCCAAATTCCTGGGTTGACTTGAGAATCGAGGTGGTCACTCCTTGTCAAGTCAGCGGCTGGAGGTCGTGGGTCCGCAGCGTCTGACGCGCGTGGGGGGCGGGCGGGCCTCCTGCTCCAGCGTCCGAGCTGTGGGCCTGCTCGTGCACACTTGCCATGCAAGTACAGCACAACTCAGAAACACGGCCAAATATGGATGTGTTTACGTGGGAAAGCCAGCGTGTTTAAAATATTATTCAAGTCTCCAAGGATGGGGATTATTTCTGGAGAATTATATTTGTTGGTGGGAGCTATTTTAAATAGTTTCGTGTATTTTCCCCCTGTAATTCATTAAAAGTTTTTCATTTTCTTTCCTTTTGGATTTTAAAAATACCAGCTAACTTTGCAAAAAGGTATTTATTATAGAACCGACCAAATAAAGTAAAGATTTAAAAAGCAATGGGAAAATACAATTGAAGCCCAGGATTCGGGCTCTAGCAGAAGTAATAGTAATTGCTCTTTCCCTGGGAATCCTTCCTGAGCAGAATGATGCACCCTCTGTGTTCCCACTCTCTGTTTGTTTGTTTGCAAGCTGATGATAAGGGAGCATCTGCTCTTACTTAACCACATGAGTAATAAACTGGTACATCCATGAGCAGGAGTCTATGTCCCCAGAGAATAAAGCCATTAGTCTGTTCATGACAATTAGATGTCAGTGGTAAGTGGTCGATGTAAATGACAGGAATAAGCTTATACAACCAGACAAGATTTTTAGTTTCTTCTCATTTCATTATCCAGAATCTATGAAGAGAAGCGATGGCCAGATTTCCCTGGCGACAGGTGTGGTTTGCCATTTCACATGCACACTGCCGGGCAAGTGTAAGGGCTCCCTGTGGCCCTGGCTGTGTCCCATAGCCCAGAACTGTCCCCTAACTGCCCTCCGCTCCCACATGGTCATGGAGGTAGGGGCTGGGGTGGTCCCTGTCCTTTCTGGGAACAGTCTAGAGCTCAGGACTGAAGAGTGTGGGAGAATTGTCTTCTCTGCACCCACAGCTATAGATAGATAATGAGTTGTACCAGCTTTGGGAACCGTAGCCCCAAGCTCCTCCCCTGGGGAAGAGGCAGGTCTTGGACCTCCGTGACCTGTCAGCAGGCAAACGCTGTGACCTGCATGGTTAAGGAGAAGGTCTGAAATGCAAACAACCCCAAAGGAAGTGAGCCTGTTAATGACCCCTGATTGCACAGAGAGGACAGAGAGGGGGAGGGCACAAGCATCCCAGATCTAAAGAGGGGCAAAAAGCGTCACCCAGATGGCAAGAGTGACCCAATGGGGAGGCTGAAGCCCCAGACGCTTGTTGTGAGGGGACCCTGCTCTGCAAATCCAGCCGGTGCGAGGAGTTTAGAGCCATGAGGCATGGGAGCGGGCAGAGGGTACACGGTCTGTGTCGCGCTTGGGAGGTCAGCGATCAGCAGCTCTGAGGCCCCCAGGGTGCCCGGAACACAGATGCAGCCTTGGCCGCGGCCACCCCTTAGCCCTGTGGGACGGATGTGAGTGAGTTTCCTCTGTTTCCAGATGTCCAGTCACAAAGCGTTCCCTTTTTAGTTTTAATGCTTTATTTCTAGTTGTATCCTACAGTATTTTGTTATCCAGTAATAAAAATCCAGGCGTGGATATGTTGGTTCTGCGTTAGCTTGGCGCCCACATACCAGTTATTGCCACCACCATTGTTCTGCTTACCTGAACGCTAAACCTGGGAGCCGGTTGTCTGTAATCACCCTCATTCCCACAGCCCTCACACGGGTGAGCAGCCAAGTCCCGGCCCTCCTGTCCCTCAGTGAGTCTCCGAGCGGCCTCTTTCCTGTCCTCACGCCCGGCCCCCACTTCCTTCTTGCCTGGACCAGCCTCTCGGTTTCCCACATCGTCTCCCTGCCTTGGGGCCTTCTCCCCTCCATCCGTCTCGCACCCCGCCGCTAGAACACTCTCTCCAGAGCTCAGCTGTAATCCTGTCAGTCCTATTCCCTGCATCCTGCCGAGCTCCTGGCAGCCTGCTTCAGTCCAGCCCCATCCGCCATGCCTCCCGTCTCATGCTCCAGCCCGACACCGTTCTTGCTCCTGCCAGACACACTCGGCCTCCCCTTCCCTCCCCTCCTCCTCCCGTCTCTGCACTGGGGCGTCCCCTTCCGCCTCACTGCCCAGTGTCCACATCCCTCCAGCCGTTGGACATTCTGGAAGCACACAGGCCAGAGCACGCACGGTGCGATCTTGGGGCTGCTGTGAGGACAACACAGACTGCCTCACGGTGCTGTGGAGCCTGACCCGTAGGACGTGAACCGTAATGCTGGCTCTTATCATTACCATCCTCGTCATTATCCTTCATGAAGGGCCTAATTCACGTACCACCTCCTCCATGAAGCCTTCCTTCTGTGCCCGTCTGAGGGAGAGCGGTGGCACTAACGGGAGAGCAGGTGGGGCTTCTGCTTGCCACTCAGTTTCGTCAGGTAGCCCTCAGCTGGGTCCTCGTGTTTCGGGGCCAGGTCGGCCTCACTGAGGGAGCCCAGGGTGGTTGGGGTCTTGATGATGAACAGATGTTGCAACATACCACACCAGCTTGCTGTTTATTATTTGTAATGGGATGATCACTGTTTTGTGGTCAGAATGGTCAAGTTCCCAGCCCCTTCCCAAGATGAGGGCTCCAAGGAAGCCAAAAGATGAATCAGAAGTTTCTCTCTCCTCCTTCTGACAGTGCTGATTGTCACGCTTCACCTTTTGTCTGTCTGCACCTCATTTTCTGATGTTCTGCTCACCTTGCTTTCTTTGTTTTTTATTTGTTTTAAAATTTTATTTATTTATTTATTTATGT